GACGGGAGGCTGCACAGTGGAAGCTCAGCGACCGTCAGACCATTTCACAGCGTGATTGCAGAAGGAGGGGACGCTAATCGGAGTTTCAGGGACACCTCGGAGAAGCTGCCGAGTGGACAGGGCTGTCTGTCCGTCTGTCCGTGTGACTGACTGGGTGATCTGTGAGCAGCTCCAATTTCAGAGCATTGCTCCTAGCGTGTCAGGAGCCACTTCCCCTCTGCCTCTCTCTCCCCCTGGGGATGGCGCGGGGGCAGTGGCCCTGGGGTGGGCCATGGACACTGACAGCCGGTCACTCCCGAGAACAGCACGTCAGCCCCTCAGGACCAGACAACGGCAGCTCCGCCGCTGGCAGCCGAGTGCAGCTGAGCCAGTGGAGGGGGAGCCCCGTGGCCTGGCCTGCAGCACGGGGGGAGCCGCGGTCTGATGTTGCCTTTGTTTTCACAGTGACGTTCGGAGCCTGGGGATCACCCTCATGGGGCACCAGAAGAAGATCCTGAGCAGCGTCCAAATCATGAGGTCTCAGCTGCTGAACACCAGTGTCCCCAGGCGGCATCTCTAATGGCCAGCTCCCCAGACCCAGCAGCCGGCGTTCCGAAAGCACCGATCCTGGCAGAGCGGCGAGCACAGCCGGCGGGAGACGCGCCGAGCCAGAACCTCGAGTCTCTGTGGCTTTCCGTTGCCTTGCTGGGATTCGCGCTCCGGGTACATCGCTGAATCTCCTGGCTCCAGCGCAGGGCAGGCCACTCCCTTTTCCATCCTGGGTCCCTGCTGGGCCGGGGCTCCTAGCCTGGCCTCGCTAGGGGCAGTGCAATAGAAGGGGCGCACCGCCCAGGCAGGGCCCGGCAAAGGGAGTCGCACTGACTAACAGCCGGGCAAGTCTCTTCCGTGTGCTGCTGCCGACTGTGTCTGAGCTGCGGTTGTACTGCCTGGAGGCTTAGCTGGAGCTCTGAGCCCTGCAAGGCCTCCCACACCATTGCATGGCAGAGACAGCCAAGTGCCTGCTCCCACCACCCTGCTCTACCCAGGACCTCCAGACCAGCCCCTCCAGGGTCATTGCCCTGCTCTCAGAAGGGTCACTGGAAAACCGGACGTCTTGAGCCTCCTGCAGTAGTTTCTGCTGGTGCTGTGAGCAGACGGGACTTCCTTGGCGCTGGGAAGAGGGGCCCGGAGCGCTGGCGCGTGCTCGGGGAGATGTGAGAAGTGCTGTCAAAGGAGAACCCGGAACCAGCTAGGAAGTCACCACTTCCTGAATGTACCGGCACTGAACCTAGCGCAGGCAGGCCAGGGCCAGGGAAGAGCATGTGTCTGAGGGCTACACGCTCAGGTTTCCCCCCCGAGCCCCAACAGAGCAGAGGCCAGGCTTCTGCCGCATGAGGGGCCGCGTCCCCTCTCACGGTCCTGTCATGTCTTCTTCCGGGTCCGAGGGGGGTTTAATGAACTCTCATATTGCCTAAAACCAGCCAGGGGCTGCCAGCAGCCAGTCTGCCTTGCTGTGCTAACAGCCAAGCCTCCCCTGGAGGCCGTCACCAGCGGCACCGCTCCCAGCAGCACGCCAACCTGCGAACACACGAGGCCCCCGCCCGAGGCTCTGCTCAGCTGTCACATCCTGGCTGCCCAGCAGGTGAGGGTTTCTCCAGGCCACCCTGCCAGGAGCTGCACCAGCTCCTTGCTTGCGCCCCCTGTTGGTGAGCGTGCCCCCGGAAGGCAGCAGGCCAGTGCGCCGAGGTGGTTGGACGCGCTGAGCTGTCCCGAGGCAGAGATGTGCTCGAAGCGGAGGGACTGGCGCAGGCTGGAGAGGAAAGCCGGCCTCTTGCTCCCCTTTGTAAATACGATTTTCTACCATGTTCAAAGCTGGTTTACTACATCGGACTTTAGACACGCAAAAATGGTCTCAAAGCACAGAAAGCCCAGCCCAGGGGCTGGCCGCGCTGCCAAGACTCTTCAAGGGGGCGTGTAGCCGGAGCTCGCTGAGGGACCCCACTCCTTGGGGCAGGGGAGAAGAGCTCCTCCCGACGCTGCTGTTACTCGTGCGTCTGAGACCCACGCCGCCGATCCGCTCTCAGTGACAGCAGAGGAACTCCAGAGTCGCTCCGGCGGTTCCAGTGGAGATCCTCTGGATTTACATCAGCACGTGTGACAGCGGGATTTGGCCCGAGGTCGCCTCCCAGCAGCGCCAGAGAAACTGGAGGATGGTGGGATGTGGGGGGAGGGGGTTAAAGCCATTTTCCAGTCTGCAATAATCCTGCCTAAACTGAACCCTCCCGGGCTTGGTTTAGTTTTCTATCCAGGGCGTCTACATCTCAATTCTACTCTGGGACTATGTCGTGGGCACCCTACTGCTTCCTATGGAAGCTCTTCCGACGAGGGCTAGATGCAGTATGTGGCCCTAGTTCCATTCCACCCTCTGTGCACTCAGACCCCTCACGCACCAATCCTGGGGGCTGTGTACTCGGAGTCTACGCCTGCGGCACACGGAACGCCCCGGGGGAGGGTGCCGGCCGGGCCTTACCCGCCCTACAGCACACGGAACGCCTTGGGGGGAGGGTGCCGGCCGGGCCTTACCCGCCCTGCGGCATACGGAATGCCTAGGCGAGGAGGGTGCCAGCTGGGCCTTACCTGCTCTGCGGCACACAGAATGCCTGGTGGGGAGGGTGCCGGCTGGGCCTTACCCACCCTGCGGCACACAGAATGCCTGGTGGGGAGGGTGCCGGCTGGGCCTTACCCACCCTGCGGCACACAGAATGCCTGGTGGGGAGGGTGCCGGCTGGGCCTTACCCGCCCTGCGGCACACGGAACGCCCCGGGGGAGGGTGTCGGCTGGGCCTTACCCGCCCTGCGGCACATGGCAGGTATAAGGGTTGGGGGGTTCTGGATAGATCCTGGTTCCCGGAGGGCAGAGGGTTGGTGGATGGTCCCTGGTCCCTAGGGACAGGGGGGTTGCTGGATGGGCCCTGGTACCCAGGGATGGGGTTGCTGGACAGCCCCAACCCCTCGGGACGGGAATTGCTGGACAGGACCTGGTCCCAGAGGATGGGGGTTGCTGGCCAGGTGCTGGTGCCTGGAAGAGGAGTGTTGCTGGATGGGCCCTGGTCCCCAGGGACAGAGCGTTGCTAGATGGCCCTTGCCTCTCTCTTCCTTGCCCTTGTTTTATGGTCAGAGTCTGCACCTCTTCCCGGACAATAAAACTCTTCCCATTGCCCATTTCTCTGTCTCTTATTGACCAATGTGTCGTGCAGGGCTGCTCCCACAGGGCACACGGGCTGCTGGAGCTGCTAAGGGATCCACCCTGCCGTCCCTTCCAGCAGGCATGGGGCTGCCCGAGGGGACTTGCCTGTGCATGGATGTGCGTGTGTGTGAGTGCAAACATGTGCATTTTACGCATAGTGCAAGTGTGCATGGATGTGCATGTGTGTGCATAGCGTGAATGTGTATGGATGTGCATATGTGTGTGAGTGCATGCATGTGTGTAGCATGAGTGTGTGTGATGCACGTGTGCGATGCACGTGTGCATAGCATGAGTGTGCATGGATGTGCCTACGTGTGTGTGTGTGTGTGTGTGCATAGCGTGAGTGTGTCTGTCTGTGTGTGTGTGTGGGTGGGGAAGAGAAGAGTTAGTGTCATTGCTGTTGTTGTTACAGTCCAATCCCATTTCATCCTGGGTGGTGGTAGGATGGAGGAGTCACCTCATATGCCCACCAAAAGCATCACTCGCCCCAGGAAGTGGGGAGCAGAGATTTGCCGGGCCGCGGTAGGGTGTTTGTTAAGCTTCCATGTTGCATTGATTCATAAAGCCGACGTTCACATTCTGCCAGATGTAGGGGGGTTCGCCATAGGCGTTCAATCCAAAAGCAAGTACCTACCCCAGGGGAGTTTACGTGTGTTAGAGACTGTACCTGGCTGACAGCTAAGCATGCAATGCGCAGGGTGACATATCCATGGGGTTATATGGGGATACTATGCAGAGCCCACTGCACAGGTGCAGTATTATTAACATCTGAGAATTAAACAAATGTGTCCATGCTAATAGCCATCCACTAGATAAATGCCCCCCCCCCCCCAATCCCCACTTGTCACAAGGGACCAGAGTTTCCAGTTTTGTAACATTACGATTCTCCCTTCCCCCTTCCCTGTGACTCCTGAGAAAAACATTCCTGCCAGGGCTAGCCCACCAGGGGCCGAGGGGCTGCTCCTGGTGTGTTTTTATCTCCCAGCTAGCATGGCCCCACTGGGCGCTGAAGCCAGAAGAGACAGTTGATTTTTCAGATTATCCAATGTTCTTGCAGGGAAGGGGCCAGCCAGGCCGCAGGGCAAAGGGGCCGAGTGACTGTACGTTCAGGTGGGCCTGGCAGGTTCAGGTCACCCGTGCTTCCATTTACCTGTGTTGTCAGGACATCTCTGAGCTCCCTGGGGAGCAGCAGCGGGAAGGGCAGGGCAATTAATCAGACGGGAACAGATGTTTTGCTGCATGGGCTCAGGGTTAGGGGAGTCCAAAGAGTGACACACAGGCCAGGTATGTTGTCTACTTGCTTAGAAACAAACCAGGGGTTGTAGATGGGTCTCCTGAAATCAGTCCTGCTGTGGGGGACCAGCTGGCCAAGCAGACAGACCCTCCCAATCCAGCAGTGCCTACAGAGCCCTCAGCATATTTATAATGCCAAATGGAGACACTCGTGCACCCAAGTAACAATCTGACGTGTTTCCCAAAGCTCTATCCCCAGCAATCAGCATCCCCCCACCCCCCGTGAGATCCCCAGCAGAGAGCCAGGGACCCCAGCCTGCAAACACTATTGTTACTGTATTGAAACCACCATGGAACAGAAGCAAAGGTAAAAAGGTTCATGGCAGTGTCACACCCAGTCTCCCAGCCCAACTCAATTCCTTTCATAGAGTGGAAGCCAGTGCCCTCCAGCACCTCACAGAGTTCGGCCCCAGGGCGGTTTGTGTCCCAAGTGATAGCCAGGCATCAAGGCAAGTAATCATTCTTTCACTGGTGAACGAGATTTCCTTCTCTAGTAATACGTAGTACCGTTCCTAGGTATTGACCGGGCAATCCCACTATATTTGCTTTGCTATCTGTCCAAGCTAAGCTGGGATACTTCATTAATAGTACAAGCCCCTGCACGCCATCAGCATTATTAAGGTGCGTGGTCACTGTGGTACAGGACTTTAAAACAGCCCAGCAGTTCTACGTGACATCGCCCATGTTGGTTTTACGGGCCCACAAGCCCTCTTCTTTGTGTCAGTTTTATGAAATTTTTCTGAGGTCAAACACGCTCTGTGGCTAAAGTGAACGAAGGGCAATTTCTGCCTGATCGTTACTGATATTCCTATCTGCTCACACATCAGCCCACCTGCCGAGGAGCCCCAGATTCCCTCTTTGCTTTACGCTTAGCAGTGTGTTGGAGAAGATTACACGGCTAGGAGATTGAAACAGCACTATCGATGTTCTAACAGTTAAACTCCGCAGATATCGTCGCCTTAGAAATTTCCCTTAAATAATTTCAATGTTGTAAATCACGATAGACGTGACTCTTAGCCGCAGAACTCCTCAAAGGGCCTCAGTGTCTTGCTAGACACACTCTGAAAGCTCAGAATCCCATTTCGTCCCAGTCTGGAAACAGACGGCGCTGGAGAGCCTCGGGCAATCGCAGGTGCAGGAGCGGAGGCCAGAGCCACACCCTGGCGTTATTTCCCAGCTGCTGAGAACGTTGTGCCCAATTGTCCAAGCAAGGCACATGCACCAAGCTGAAGTTGAGCTTTAGTCAAACCGGAGGAAGTGCTTTTGGGTTCACAGGGATCAAGGCTCTCCTCGGACGAGTAGCGAAAGGCTCCCAACCCCCTCAGGTTGAGGATGTGTCTACATCCGTAATTTTTGGACTCAGTTCCCCGAGGGGGCAGCTTCCCGAGTGGCAGCAGTAGAGCAGGCTGTAGTGTAGAGCCAGGGGCTGGGGCATTCACCACTAGGCCGCCTAACCCAGAAAACACGATGAGAAAGTCTTGAGCCTGCTGGAGCCTTGTCTACGCTGCAGTTTTGGTTGGGGCCATCCCCACTGCAGTGACACCCTGGGAGTTACTGGGTTGAAAATTCCTTGCGCTAGATTCACTGAGAAACAGGGGTGTGGTGACACCGAGCAGTGCCACACCTTGAAAACCACTGGGATTCACAGCGCCGGAGGGAGTCACCCAGGTACAACTATGGGGCGATGGCGCTGGAGGTTGGGACTATGTTCCACAGGCAGTGGTGGTTTTAGCTGATATCTCTTGAGGGTCATATAGGCACAGAGAATACAGCTGCTACTGGCATCCCGAAGGTGCCCAGGCCTGTATTGTCACGCAGTGGTGTGGGAAAGCGTCCCACCGTGGAGGAAGCAATAAGGCTGCCGTCCCTAGAAACTTTCAGGAGAGTTACAGAGTATGGCCGAGTTCCTCCATGAACGTTTCATGGAGTCCTCTCAGGAAGATAAAGGGCCATCCCTATGTATACATAAACTACTCTGCCCCTCCCCATCCAACTGGGGAATGAAAAGCAGATGCCAACGCTACCTCTGTTCGCTGCCTCACTACCTCTGTTCGTATGAGTAAAGCAATACAAAACCCAACACCTGTGTCTTGTTACCTTGGGGATGGGCCAGGCGCCATCTTTAAATGTAAACAGTGTAAGGAAAAATGCACTCACATTTACCGAAGGTCTCTGTCGCTTTATCAGGCTCATCCAAGCACAACAGGCGGGGCTGGCTAGACTGTGGTGGGGTCTTGAAGAGATCCTGGCTCGCAGGATGGCTGCAGTCCCCTTCCTCCTCCTCTTCTCTGTTCACAGCAGGGGTCTCTGGCACCTACAACGTGTCCATGGTGATCTGCAGGACGCTGGTGGGGTCTCCGCCAAGTATTGCCTACAGCTCATTGTGAAAACAGCAGGCTTGTGGGGCAGCACCGGATCGATTGTCATGCTTCCTGGCCTCGTGGTATGCCTGCCACAGTTCCTTTGTTTTCACACAGCACTGCTGCATCTGTGTTGTACCCCTTTGCCTGCATCCCCCATGCGATCTGATTGTACCTGGCCTTGTTTCTGTGGTTGGGCCCAAGGCAGGCAGGCTCTTCCCAGTTATTGTTCTCTGAAGGACCAGGAAGGTTTTACCCCAGAGGCATCTTATCTCTAGGCTTTGACTTGCTTCCTGCGTCTTTCTCCTCACAATCCCTTTTGACGTAAGGCCCTAGAGAGAGCCAAGGTGGGGGAGGGAATATCTTTTAGTGGCCCAACTTCTCTTGGCGAGAGAGACAAGCCTTAACGCCAGATAGCCAGCCAGAAACCATCCTTTACAGCAATGGGCCAATCATATTGCACATACAGGATTCATCACTTAATACAGAGGAGCTCACCAGCCTTCACAACTACACACAAGGGTTCAGCATAAAAGATCACATGTGGAGGGCGAGCAAGTCAGGCTGAGCGTGAGTGTGCGAGAGACTGGGGGGACGTTGGTGAGTGTGTGCAAATGGTGCATGTGTGTAGATGGCTGTGGGGCTGGGCATGCAGCAGGGTGAGTGTGTAAGCCAATGTGCATACAAGTGAGCAGGCACGTTGACGGGCGCATGTGTGAGGGAAGGAGTGTGCCTGCAAGTTTGGCTGCCTTTGGGAGGGTTAGCGGGTGTGCACGCGGGTGCAAGCAGTAAGTGGGGTGAGCGTGCAGAACAGGCTTGTGTGTAGGTGAACATGCAGGGGAGTATGCATGTGTCGGTGACTAAGTGCACACACTCGTAGCTGGATGTGAGTGTGATTATACGTGTGAGTGTGCAAGCAGGGGAGTGTGCATGTGAGGGACCATGTATTCAGGGGCGTGTGCAGTCCCCGGCCCTGGAGGGATGGTCTGACTCCAGGCCTCCTGGCTGCTCGCCCTGCGTGTGTGGAGCACCCGTCAGTGCTGGGCCCCTCGAACTCAGTTAACCAAAGGGAAGGTGCCTCATTAGAATTCCTTTATCTCTCTCACATCCTGCGCTGCTGCCAGGGAAGGGTCAGCGGCACTTATGAAATTTTCAATTCCCAGGAGTTTGGAATTTACATGTTTTTTCTGTGTCTGAGCTGCAAGAAGATTATGAATAAAAGATTAAAATGGGAGGTCTCCAGTCAGTTAAGAGCAATGCGCTAAGCATTCATTCTGGGAGAGGAGAGCCGACCGCCACTGCATGCATACCGAAAATT